GGACCTGAGTATGACTCGCTTTCTGTTCAGTCAACTCAAGAATCCCTCCTTGTACCCTCAGAGAAGCCCAGGCCTTGCTGTTGACCTTTGAAACTAGAATTGAAAGGAACACAACCAACTCACTGAATGGAGATGGATTCAGGGGCTTTGCAAATCTGGCATCTCAGCAAGCATCAAAGAGAGGAGGATTTACCTCTAACCAAAGCTACAGAGGGAGATCTAACCAAAGTAGAGGGAACTTTAGAGGTGGTAGGACTGGCAGAAGCAATAGCTACAGAGGTAGAGGTGGCAGAATGAGTTATGTTAAATGCCAAATTTGCCAAAAGGATGGCCATACAGCTGACAGGTGTTACAGCAGATTTGATCAAAACTATGTCTACACTCAAAGAAACACTTTCAGAGGACAACAAGGGTACCAGAACATGGCCAACATGGCAAACTTAAGCTCCTACAGTGGAAGTACCTTTGGCAGCTCAAAAACCAATCACAGCTTTCAAGATTCACAGTGGCTGCCAGATTCAGGAGCAACCAACCACATCACATCAGACTTGAGCAACCTCAACCTTGCAACTGAGTATCTTGGAGATGACAAGATATAGATGAGAAGTGGCACAGGTATGCCTATCACTCATGTTGGTTCTTCTATATTTAAATCTGTTTCCAATAAGAACCATTCTTTCATTCTCAACAACCTTCTTTGTGTGCCACACATAACCAAGAACCTTTTGAGTGTTTCCCAATTTGCTAGAGATAATGGGGTTTACTTTGAATTTCATCCCTTTTTCTGTCTTCACAAGGATCAAGCCATAGGGGAGATACTACTCAAAGGCAGACTTACTAATGGCCTTTACAGCTTTCATATGAGTCAAGACAAAAGAAATAGAGTTGAGGTCCATCCTTCCTTCAAAAAGTTCAAACCCCAGTTTCATTCAGCTTGCTTGAAGAATAAACTCAGTCTTGACCTATGGCACAGTAGACTAGGACATGCATCCTATGATATTGTAAAAAAGGCTCTTAAAGGTTGTAACATTGAGTTTCATGACAATGCAAGTAAATCTTTATGTTCTTCATGTTTTATGGGAAAATGCCATAAACTTCCTTTTGTTGACTCTATGACTGATTGCTGTGATGTGCTTGAATTAATATACACTGATCTATGGGGGTCATGTCCTATTAAGTCTGCTACAGGTCACAGCTATTATATCAACTTTGTAGACCATAAAACCAAGTTCACTTGGATTTATTTTCTAAAGCACAAGTCAGATGCTTCAAATGCTTTCATTCATTTCAGAACCTTTGTTGAAAATAGATTCTCCAAGAAAATTAAAATAGTTCAAAGTGATGGGGGAACAGAATATAAGCCTTTGTCAGATTTCTTCCATCAAAATGGGATCACTCACAGGATGTCTTGTCATTATACCCCTGAACAAAATGGAAGTGCTGAAAGAAAGCACATGCACATAGTTGATTCTGGTCTATCAATTCTTGCTCAATCTTCTGTTCCCAAAAGATATTGGGATCATGCATTTTCTACTGTTGTGTACCTCTTGAATAGGGTCCCTAGCAAAGTCTTGAATTTCTTGTCTCCTTTTGAAGCTCTGACAGGCACAAAACCAGATTACAAACACACTAGAATCTTTGGATGTGCTTGTTATCCTTACCTAAAACCATATAACAAGCACAAGCTTGACTTCAGGAGTCAACAAAGTGTCTTTCTTGGCTATCATGGCCAGTATAAGGGTTATAAGATCTTGCTGCCAAATAAGAGAATCATTATTTCCAGGCATGTGACTTTTGATGAGACAGTCTTTCCCTTTCAAGACCAAACACAACATTCTTCACCTCAAAACACTCCATTTCCAGACCAATATGTGGCACCTCTGATCATTTCAACTCCTAATCCTCCCAACCAGCCTTCTCAACCCAGCCACAATTCTCCTATTGCTTCTCAACATCACAGCACACCAGCCACTCAACAATCTCAATCTTCAGCTACCACACCTCAAACTCAGTCACCTGGAATTCCTATTGGACAGATCTTTATAGATTTACCAATTGAAAGTGATAGGCATAGTGCTTCTATACCAACTGTTGCTACTAACAATGCCAATGCAGAGAATGTTAATCCAATGATCACAAGAGGAAGAGCTGGAATTTCTAAAAGAAAGGTGTTTTCTTGCACCAAATCAGCCACTAATCACATTGAACCTACCACACTTTCAGAAGCTCTTCAAGACATTAATTGGAAGAAAGCTATGGATCAAGAATATCAAGCTCTCCTTGACAATAAACTTGGGTTTTAGCTGATCTTCCTACAGATAAAAGGGCAATAGGATGCAGATGGGTTTTCAAATTAAAGAAAAATGCAGATGGATCAATTGCCAGGTACAAGGCAAGACTAGTTGCTAAAGGTTTTAGCCAAATACCTAGTATGGACTTCACTGAGACATTTAGTCCAGTTGTAAAGCCAGCAACTATAAGATTAGTTCTATCCATTGATGTCTCTAAGTCTTGGTCTATAAGGCAGGTTGATGTGGATAATGCCTTTCTAAATGGGGAACTGGATACTAATATTTACATGATACAGCCACTAGGATATGAAGATGGTTCAAACTCAGTTTTCTTGCTTAAAAAATCATTATATGGTTTGAGACAGGCCTCAAGATCCTGGTACTTAAAGCTTGGCAGCATCCTTTCCTCACTTGGTTTAAAGAGTTCTAAATCAGATACATCCTTGTTCATCAAGACTGATGGTAACTGCAGCATTTTTATTTTAGCATATGTAGATGTCTTGATTGTCACAGGGTCCAACAACCAACAAATTGACCACACCATTTCAGTTCTTAAGAAACATTTTGCTTTAAAGGACTTGGGAACTTTGAACTATTTCCTGGGACTGGAAGTTGACATAACAGGTAATGGTCTTTTTCTTAGCCAATCTGGTTATATCAAAAGCATCCTTGGGAAAGCAGGCATGGCAGGTTGCAAGGCTATTAGTACACAAATGGTGTCTTCTCCCAGTTTATCCAAACACCATGGACAACCTATTGAAAATGGAACCTTGTATAGACAACTTGTTGGAGCCTTGCAATATGCTACCATTACAAGACCTGAAATTTCTCACTCAGTCAACAAATGTAGTTAATTCATGCAAAATCCCCTTGACACTCATTGGAAAGCTCTTAAGAAACTGCTTAGATCTTCATGGATCTATAACTTCAGGGTTGCACCTCACTAGATCACCCTCCATGCAGTTGGTGGCTTATGCTGACTCAGACTGGGCCACAGATCTTGATGACCGACGGTCAACTTCAGGGTTTTGCATATTCCTTGGCAGTAATCTGATTTCTTGGAGCAGCAAGAAACAGAAAACAATTGCCAGATCCAGTACTGAGGCAGAGTGTAGGAGTTTAGCTAGAGCTACCTGTGATATTATGTGGTTTAGAACCTTGCTGTCTGAGTTAGCCATCCCTCAGCATCAACCTACAACGGTTTGGGTAGATAATCTTGGCTCAGTGTTGCTCTCAGCTAATCCAGTTCATCATTCAAAGACTAAGCATGCTGAAATTGATCTTCATTTTATTCGCGAGCAAGTCCACCTTCACACAATCTTTGTTCATCACATACCTGCCTTACACCAAATTGCAGATATCTTGACCAAACCTTTATCGGGCCAATTCTTCACTCGGCTTTGGGAAAAACTCACAGTTAAACCTAAACCCTCGTTTGAATTGAAGGGGGCATAATAGCATATAAAGATTATGAAGACCAAGTCTAGTTTTACTCCTTTACTCTTTTCATTTCCATTTTAGGTTATCTGCATGTCTTATTCATGCAGACGTGGAGCTGTTTTATTTTCTTTACAGTTTGAGTTGTTTGGCATATAACTAGTTTATTCTCAGCCATTGATCTTATATCTACGGCTATGATTATCAGTGTTGATGTATAAAAGACTTTGTATCCATCCTAGGTTTCCAATCAATCAATATACCATATTCCCTCAGCTGCTGCGCTTTTGTTTCTTGTGTTGTCATTTCATCAAATCGATCTTGTGAACGTGTGTCTTCACCAATGGCTGTAAACATTTGCCATTATTTATGTTTGAATATTCCTTTGTTTATTAATTACATACTAAATTTTGCTTATTTTGTTCATTTTTCAATCTATACATTTCACATTAGATAATCAATATTGAATGTCTATTAAGTAATCAATTATTTATTTGGTGTATATGTTGGACTAATTTAGTGTTTAGTTGATCATATTTAAAGTTTATTAATACATACAAGAAGTATATGAGGGTTCGAATCCCTCTCTCCCCTTTTAATTTAGTGTATATTGTACATTAATTTAGTATTTATTTGGTCACTCTTAAAATTTATTTATAACATATGTGGGTATTCATAAAAATAATTTTAGCTTGAATCCTGGCTCCGCCCCTGACTCGAAGGGAGACTGGGCACACAGACAAGCGACGGCAGCAGCGCGGCGGTGCGGAGCGGCCCCCTGGGGAGGAGGCCGACAACTAGGTTGAACTGGGATTGAGCGGAATATCGAACAAGCAGCATTGTTTCTGCTACTTCCCGTGAAGGCGAACTTCAGTGTTGCTGAGTTTCTCGCCATTGTCCTCATTGTAGTCCACCACAAAGATGGTCCCGGTCAAGGTTAACAAGATGCTACATTCTCCCTTAAGCACTAATTAATCATTACTTTAATTTACACGACATGAATTAAATTATCCCAAAAAGGAACATAAATTCTATTGTCCACTTGATCAAAAAATAAATAACTGGCCATTAATTCAATTCTTTGACACACAATAAAATAAAAGCAGCATCATTTGACTGCTACAAATTTAAGCCTTGCATACCCCTTGAAGTTTGAACCACACACTCGGACAACCTTATCAAGAAAATTGTTTGTTCATTCAGTAATAATATTTTCCAGCCTAGCTCGACTTCAAATTCGATCCAAAATCCATATAAGTTCGGAAAATATTGATGGCCACTACAGAGCATAGTACGTTTGAAGTTTATTGCGTTGCAACTGCCGATACAAAGCTTCAAGAACTCCGGTTTCTGGCCGAGTCCGTTCGATCCCTTCTCGATAAGTTTCGGGGTCGTTTTTCTTCGTTAAAGGAGGTAAATTCTCATTTTGATTTAGTATTTCTTTCGTTTGTTCATTACTAGAAATCTATACACTAGCTTTCTTTCTTGGGATAGCATTTTTTTTTTTCTCAATAAAAATAAAAAAATAAAAATAATGACTGCATTAATGGCGCCAAAAAAAATTTAAAAAAAAAAAATGGAAAGTGTAATCGCGTGTACGGTGACGGTTAATAGCAATTTTTATTTTTTTTTCTGTTAAATTATATTTAAAAAAGGGATGGTTGCGTTCACAATTGAGAAGTGATGTCGAAAGCGGGGACACACGCTTTTCGATGGAGATGTTAAAAACGTGATCGTTAACCAACTAATTAATTATGGGCGATGGATATATTAACATGTGTCCATCGAGTGAGATTAGAATGATTCTAAATAATTAGTATTTAAATTGTAATAGTTAAAGTTGATGTAATTGACAAGTAGGAGAAACGATGAGAGTGATATTTAATTAAAAATATTTGAGTAGACAAATAGCGAGAATTTTGTAAGTTGATGTGATGTAGGAAAAAGATAATTGTTAACATTTAATTAAATTGAAAATAAATTATTTTGAATAAAGTTGATTAAGTAGAACGAGAGAGATTATGATTGAAGAATATTTAAAATGTAATAATTAAAGTTGATTTGATGTAAAATATAAGAGATGTGATTGAAGTGATAGGAAGATAACACTACGAAGAAAATAATAGAATCATAATGGAAAATTCAAAAGAAAATATATTTCATTGGAATTTCAAAGGCAACTATTATTTCCGTTGCAATTTTCCAATAGATTCAAACGGAAATTGCAACAAAAGTATTTCGTTGAAATAGTTTTATATTTGAAGAAATTCCAAAAGTAGACTTTCCAACATGGTGAATATAAAAATTTCAATAGAAATTGCATATTTCAAAAGAAATTCCTACTGTACAAAACCGTTGGAAAAATATGGAATCATCAATTCCATCAAAAATTTAAATGAAAAACTCATCCCAAGAGAATAATTTCGTTGTAATTATTCCAAATGAAGTTATACTATTAGAATATCAGTTGGAATATTCAATGGAATATATTAACGTACGATTTTCTGTTGGAATATAACAATTTCTTTGTAATGTAAAAATATGAAAGTGAATGAATAGTGAATTAAAATTAATGTCATGTATAAGGAAGATGATTGATATTATTTAATTATAGTGATAATCAATAATTAATAATAATAACGTTGAATTAGATTTTGAGTTAGGCAGAGTAAAAAGAAAAACAAATCGGGTTAAAATTAATTTTGATCAGTTTTAACTACTTATCAGTCACCCATTTATAGGATAATGCGCCCCTACCCACAGTGGGCACATGTTAATATGCCCACCGCTTATGTGGCATGCAGACATTGGTGATGTTAATATATTCAAAAAAATATATCACCAATGTATGCATGTCACATAAACGATAGATATATTAACATGTGTCCATCGTTGATAGGGAAGCATTACTGCTTATTAATAATCCAAGAAAAACATAAGACCAATAATTTTCTTTCCGAATTTGGACTCTTTTAATTTCGAGTTTGGACTGTTGAAGCTAAAATTTATTAGAAATTGCACCTGATAAAATAACTAGTTAATCTACTAGTGAGTTTTTTTAATAACATAATAATCAATATATAACTGCATATATTTACTTTTTAATATATAATACTTAGCTATTTATTTTATTCTAACATTTATTGTCACGTTGTTATTATTATTATTATTATTATTATTATTATTATTATTATTATTATTATTATTATTATTATTATTATTATTATTATTATTTTGTTCGTATTTTTTGAAATAAATACAATAGTACAGCACCTTATTTTCGCATATAATCAGAATTATTTACTATATCTACAATTTCATAGAATTTTATATTTCACAATTCAACCAATCGCCCCTATATATAATTCTCGAATTCGCTGAGCCTACGTGGCTGCTTCTGGTGCTTCGGAATCCTACTTGGCGAAGAATCATGCTTCGTAACTAGGTTCGGACAAATAATATTGATATATTAATAATTAATATCTAAGTTCGGACATTCCATAAATATTATTTAGCTAATTTAGGTATTTTAATATCACTTGTACTAATATAACCTTTTAATTCTTTGTAATTTTACATAGTGAGACACTAAGTGACTAATATATCTCTGACTTTTGATTTGTTTCCTTCAATTAGCTATTGAATTATAAATGTATTTTAAAAGTTGATAACTTTTGTATTTCTTATCGGTTTTACATATATAATATATCAAATTAATCATCTTTTCATTATCTTCGATTTGACATCCATATTGTATATATAAAATAAATAAATAATATTTACCTTTATAATAAAAAACTATTATTTATTAAATTTTATTAGAAAATAAAATTATTTCTCAGTTGATATATTTTTGTTTAATGTAGTTATATTTTGTAAGTTAAAAAAATTATTATAATATAACACAAGTAAGTTACACAAATAAAAAGTGTCATACAAAATATATAATAATATATATTTTTATAAAAGTTATTTAAATTTTCAACTACTTTTTCTCAATAATATTAGATTTTAAAGAAAAAATTAGCAAGCACCCGTGTAATACACGGGTTTTGTACTAGTGCATAGTACAACTATATTATTCGTACGTAGTTAAAATTAATGTTGTATATGCTTACATTCAAATTTTGACATTTAAATTTATAATTTTAATAAAAATAAATATAGCCCCTTGTTTATATTTCATTATAAAATCATCTAATTTTGTTTGAAAAGTATAATATATTTCCACCATCGAGGTAGGTAACAGTTACAGTAATCGACGTATCATCCGGTCCGAACGTAGTAACGAGCTGCGGGAACTTCAAATTCGTATCAAGAGCGACTGTCCTGTCTGCCGCGCAACTCGACACAACGCTTCCGGACGATAGAGCAGAAGCTGTAGGGATCATGAACAAGGCTCTCGACAAAATGCTTCAGAAATCCCATGCAGACGGACCTCTCACCGGAGTCATCGGGCTCGGTGGCTCGGGTGGGACCTCCTTACTCTCATCCGCTTTTCGATCTCTCCCTATGGAAGTCCCTAAAATCATCGTATCCACCATGGCTAGCGGGGACACATCGCATTACGTTGGGACATCGGATTTGGTTTTATTCCCGTCTGTGGTGGATATTTGTGGGGTTAACAGAGTGAGCAAGATTGTCATAACCAATGCTGCAGCTGCTTTTGTCGGGATGGTGATGGGTCGGTTGACGAGTTTTGAAGGGTCGGTTGGTGGTTGTAAGGTTGAGAAGGCTACGGTTGGTATAACGATGTATGGGGTCACGA